TGGTTTAGGAAGCACTTTACAGATGAAAAATAAATATAGTGACTATATGAGTTTCTTTCTGCTTATTTTATGCCCACCGCAGCCTTGTCAGTTCTCCATTTTGAAGCAAGGAATGTATATTCTGCCAATTTTAAATGGAATCTTCCCATCAGGTTGAAGGCCTTGCTTTACTGCAGGCTGTCTGAAGGCCAGAGGAATTGATCTGGTCAAGTGGCAGCCAGCTGAGCACCACATTTACTTAATCTAAAGCAATAAACATAACAGTGAAAAAAATTTTTTTTCTTTTGTAACAATGTAAAGTGACAGATATTCACTAGACTTATTGTGGTGATCATTTTGCAGTGGATACAGATACCAAATCATTACGGTAGACACCAAAACTCATGTAAGGTTAATGTCAATTATACCTCCATTTAAAAAAGAGAAAAAAATGAATTGTAATAGCAGATTAAGGAAACTTATACCAAAAGACCAAAAAAACCCCCAAAAACCCATGGCAGTGAAGAGGTATTCCCCCCAGGACCCACTCAGATGGGTATCCGACCAAGTGTGTGTTTTGGGGGGGATGCCTATCTAATAGGACGTAAAATGTTAATTGTGGGGCTCGTTGCCCCCCAGCTGAGGCTGTTCTTCCACTGTTGAACAGATTCCGGTCAGTCCCTCACTCATAGACCCTGTACCCTGCACGCAGTTGTTAACAAGTGCTGTTCTGGCAAGAGACCAAAGTACTCTCCTGAAACTGGTGCCCGTATTTCAAGTCCCCACCACTTTTCACCCTCTTGTGTTGCTTTTATCACCATCACTATTATTATGGTAGCAACACTTACTATTTATTATATGCTATCCATGGGGTTAAGTGCTATCCCCGCATTATCGTCTTTAATCCCCATCACCATCTTATAAAGTAAACGCTATCATGACCGCCATTTACAAATGAGGAAAGGGGAGTTCAGGTACAGCATGTGTTTGTCAGGGTCATGCAGTGACTGAGTGATAGAGCTGGAAAGAATCCAGGGCTAGTTCGGAGTCCACACTATTGGTCACTCTGTTGTGCTGGCCATTATTTTGCTCGATGGAATTGTTTAAATCAAAGAGCTAAGTGCGTTCCATAGATATTGTTAGAAAATTTTTAGTACCTGTTTGCCTTTAGTACCTATTTACCCTGTCTTCTGTTGACAGAAGGGAAGAAATGAATTGTACTTAATAAACTAAGGAAACTGTGTGTGTGTGTGTGTGTGTGTGTTGTGTTTAAACAAATTGCTTATTTATATGATGACTTTACGAAGATGGTCTAAATCCATCACGGAACACCACGACCTCAAACAAGTTCAGCAACAACTTATGGCGAGATGCAGTTGTCCTTGTGACTGTGGAAATGAGGGAAGTGAGTCGATTATGCGTATTTAGTTTCTGCGATACTAAATCGGCCAATCTTGAATGACAGTGCCTCCAAAAATGCAGCCTTGTGGAATTCAGTAATATGCCAGGCCATCTGAGAAGAAGTATGTCTCTGCCTCTTCCTTCTTCCTACCTTTCTAAAACAAAATGTAATAAAAGAGACTGGAAAGATAATATTCAAATGTGATATCCATGATCAGTAAGTTAGATGGCATTTCCCCATTCCTAGGAGATAACTCATACAAATGTGATCCAAATTTGATGAATTTTTTGCTGTATGTGTTAGCGGGCTTTAAAAACTTTAGTTCTGGCATCTGAATGCCTAGCAGTGCTAAGCTCTCATGTACCTGAGGGCTCACTAAAGTGAACAGAGTAGCTGGATGCCAAGTTTAGAGCTTGGGGATTCTGGATCAAGCAGCTGCAAGACTAACAAGAGTGTAGGCAACACCCTAAAATAATTTCAAATTTACAGAGAAGTTGCAAGAATAATACAAAGAACAGCCATATATCCTTTACCCAAATTCATCATTTTTAATATCTTGCCACATATATCTTACCTCTTTCTCCACATACACTGTATGTGCACACACACACATGTGTTTATTTTTCTGAACCGTGTGAGAGTAGGGATCATACATCATGTCTTTTTTTATGCCTTTATACTGTAGTATCTATTTCCTAAGAATAGGCATAGTCTGTTACTTAACCACAGTGTAGTTATGAAATTCAAGAAATTTAACGTTGAAGCATGGCTTTCATCTCTCCTGTTTTCCATTTTCAGATGTTGTCAGTGGTTCCAATAATGTCCTTCAATAGCACTTTTCCCCTTCAGTCCAGGATCGAGCCTATGATCACATTTTAATTGACATATCTCTTCAGTTTCTTGCAATTGGGAACAGTTCCTCAGCCTTTCTTTTTCTTTGATGAAATTGATGCTTTTGAAGGATACAGGTCAATTTTTAAATAGAAGATGTTCCTCACTTTGCAGTGACCTATCCCTGGCTGGTGTACAACACAAGGGAAGGTGTATCTTTTTCAGGATATTACACCTGGAGGCACACAAAGTCCATCTGAGCCTCACTGGTGATTAATTTTGGTCACCTGGTTAAGGTGCTATCTAGTTTCTTGGTTTCGAGTTTCATGACTCCCCAGCAACCAATGAGCTTTGTTTTCAAGCAGTTTCAGTCTTTGGGGATACAAACAAAACTAAATGTTGATAATTGAGAAATCAGAAGTATCTTTTCAAGTGTCAAAATATCTTGACAAGTCATAAATTCCTAGAATTGTATAGTGGATAGGGCGTTTAGAATTGAAAAATGTGTATGCTAGGGGCGCCTGGGTGGCTCAGTCGTTAAGCGTCTGCCTTAGGCTCAGGACATGATCCCAGGGTCCTGGGATCGAGCCCCACATCGGGCTCTCTGCTTGGTGGGAAGCCTGCTTCTCCCTCTCCCACTCCCCCTGCTTGTGTTCCCTCTCTCACTTTGTCTCTCTCTGTCAAATAAATAAATAAAATCTTAAAAAAAAAAGGAAAAAAATGTGTATGCTGTTAAATTTTGTAATAGACTTTTTCAGAGCAGTTTTAGGTTTATAGCAAAATGGAGCAGAAAGTACAGAGTTCCATATAACCCTACCCCACCCACACACACACAACATCCCCCACTGTCAACATCCCACCAGCGTGGTCCATTTGTTATAATCAGTGGACCTACAACAAAGCATCATTATCATCCAGAGTCCATAGTTTCAGTTAGGGTTCACGCTTGGTGTTGTACCTTCCAGATGTGTTTTTTAGAAGTCAATTTAGAGTGTCCATTTGCTGTACTCTTCAGTTCACTATTCAGGGCTGTTACTTTTCTAAATTCCTTTATAAGGAATACGTGTCTTTGTATCTTGTGTTTAATTATGCCTCTTCCTTTACTCGTTTTTATAATGATTATATCTTTCTAGTTTACTTCACTTTAAGGTCAGCTTTTAATACCATATCAACAGAGCGAGAGAAGCTGAAGCAGCTGATGGAACAGGATGTCTCCTCCTCCCCCTCTGCCCAGGTCATCGGCCTGAAACACGCCCTGTCATCCGTAAGTTGCATGTCTGTGTCACAGAAATGCCTGACCACCTGGCCATGCTCATGAATTTTTTTATATTTTCCGACTCCATGGTTGTGTTGAAAATTCATGAGAAAACCCAACAAATTATCCAAATTCTATTTTAACCTTGTATCGGATCTGCTAATTCTGAACAGCAAAACTGAGCCTACCTCCAATCTTAGTAACTCGTATTTCATGGAGCATTAGATACCTTAAGTTTGGTTTCCTTCCATTTATCTTGATTTTTCTGTTTCTGTAAAGCGTTTATTGTGTGTTTGTGTGGGTCTTCCAGATACTTGTTTCTCATTACAAAATCCAAGGTTTGGAGGTTCCTGTACTTCTCGAGCTTAGAGTGACTTTGCAAGTGACAGGTAGCAGAAGGCAACTTTAAATTCACTCATCTTCTCTGCTGCCCAGCAGTGATCCTGCTTACCACTCTTTCAAAGTTATTTGGAAGTGATTTGCTTTGGTAAGATAAAACTTTTAGCTGCCTTTTCCTGCATGGGCACAGAGAGGTGAGTCATAAGGAGTGTCAGATAATCATTGCATTTTCATCACAACAGAAACATCAGGCTCCAGCCTCAAGTCAGCCCTTCTGTTATTCACTCTCTCTCTACATTTTCCCCTTGATTTCAGTTGGGCTCCATTCAGGTGCAGTGTCCTAGGACTCTACCTTGAATGGCTGGTGTTGTCTGGTTACTCACTCTGTATCTATCGAAAAGCTGGCAGGTTTTAAAAATAACATACTTATTATGTCATTTGTATTTATTTTACTTATTTATATATTTCTTTTATTTTTATTTTATTATGTTATTTCATTATGCCCCTAGTCTTTGCTTGTCCTTTCGAATCCCTAGTACAAATAGAGAGTGTGCGCACGTGGGAAATCACCAGCTGAAGCAATACCAAACTTTTTGTTTAGGGTTAAGTTGGGGAGATGAATTTTAGGATCTTGTTTTCAGGAGCTAATTCAGGCTTTGAGAGAACTAGAAAATATCCGTTCATCTTTTCTATTCCTCACGTTACTGAGAAAAGTAAAGTAATGATTTTGGTGTGACCGTAATGGGAAACACATTACCAGTCGTGCATAGTTGTTGTTGAATACTTAGGAATATTTCCTCACTTGGCGGTCCAAGTATGTTATCTTTGAAAGAAATAAAAAATAATGTGGCCTTACTCCACGTAGAGGGTCTTAATGTCATTCACCCTGAGGAACTCTGGGTTTTCTAAGGTCAGAGAGAGAAACACCCCTTTTGGATTGCAGTGGACAGCCAGCTGCACACTGGGAGCTATTTGGGTTTGAGAGAAGAGAAGTGTGGTTTTGTTTTGTTGTGTTTTGTTTTTAAGTTTATTTTTTAGTGCTACAGAGCATTTCTTTGTTCCCAGTAGGTTGACTTTTAGTACTTTCAGAAGGTACCTCTGATGGGCTTCCCCAACCCCTCTCAAAGCAGTCTTCCTGTCTCCCGCCCTCCTCCCTTGGGAGGTCTGGCCTCATCTTCTTAGTCGGCTTGTCTGGTAGAGGACATGGTATCCTAGGCCAGAGCTGTTACCCTTCTAAGGAATTTACTTTCTCCCATGTTCAGGATTTTGGGAACTTAAGATATAACAAAATGATCCTTTCTTTCCTCTTTTTGGCTTGGATTCTGGATTAGATTCAAAGCTTGTTTTTTAAAAATAACATTTTTAGTGTCCTCCCAGGGCTATCAGAATGCATATGTTTGTGCTGTATATGCAGTCTTGGCATTCTTCTTTCTTCTGCCTGTGGCTTACAAAGGAAAGAGAAGCTGCTAAAATAACACATTTTTCAGGCCATACTAAGAGTCTAACATTGGTATAGATTCTAGCCACTGACTGATGCTAAGATGCCGGCAAAATGTTGGTCAGAAAAAAGTGAGTACCCCATAGAGATTGTTACATGTACTTGTGTGTATTAAGAACATTTACTCAGTGTTTCCTAAATGATCCTCAAGAATTTCCAAATAACCCATTCCATTCCTGGGTATTAAAAAATAAAACCAACATCCTGTTTGAGATCCAGGCAGTAGATCAGACAGTGCCACATCCTTCTATGATCTCAGCAGGTAGACCCTGTGGGCACTAATGGATGGGAAAGGCTCTGAGCTTCTTGGAAGAGAGCCTGATAGACAGACAGGACAGATCTGTGTGCAGGCACCTGGAGAGCTGACTGTGGGAGTGTCTGGGGGGACAATCAGGCACACTTGCCCTTTTCCAAAGACAGATCATTTGGAAACATCTTCCTTTACCTTCAAGCTAGTTCCTTCCCATTTGAGAGGTTGGGATAGGGAATCTGACCTGCCCAGGGGTGGGTTTACATGTGTCCAGTTCCCTCCCCGCAATTCCCAGGGCCCTAGTCCTTAGCCTTTATCCAGGTAAGTGAAAGTATGTCATTGTTGTTTTCAATTAAATGTCTTAGTCATGAAGAATGAATAAAACAATCATCACCTATGTTGGGAAATAATAAAATTAATCCTCCACAAAATCCTAATTCCAAGCACACTTCTTAAGATCCAGTTCAGCTGGTATGAGAATTAAATAACATTAAAAGATCTCCAATCATAAGGGGTGGGAGAAGCATCCTCTTTAAAGATGAGAGAAGCATGGGGTCATAGGGAGGGAGCTGGGGAGGGAGGGCCATGAAACCACTAGCCTAGTAAGAGCTGAAGGTGTTGGTGATTTCCTTCCCCACTGAAAGGAAATCCTCGCCAGTCCCTTCTTCCATGCCCAGAAGTGAGACCAGAGAAGGGACATCACTTCCAAAGTTCGGTGTCTTTGATCTCCCTGGCATCGCAGAACCGTATCCTGTCGGATAACATTCAGGAAAAAAGTCCAGGAAGTGCCCTCCTCAGGCACTTCCCACAGGACCGTCCCCCTGGGCCCACTGCTGTGCTTTTCTGATACATCCATTTATTAACAGAGCCCCACTATTTTTAACATGTTCCAGGCCCTAGCACAAAGCACAGACCTTAAAGAACGCTTACGCAGAATCCATGCTGAGTCTCTGCTCCTCGATTCCCCCGCTGCTGCCAAGTCGGGTGACAGTCTGGCAGAGGTGGGTAAGGCTTCTCGGCTGGGAATGTTTCCACGACCGCCACCCCCTCACCTGACACCCTCTGTCCAGTCCCTCTGCCCCTGTTTCCCCCTCGGGAGTGGGGAGTGGTGCTCACAAGTCTGCCCGCCCCCCCCCCAGCTGCTGCAGGGTCTGAGCCGCCTGCCAGCCCCCCAAAGCTTTCCTGAGTATATGCTAACTGCATTGGTAAACTGCTCCCCCCCTCAGAAGTCTTCTTCCTTTTGTATTTCTTTACCCCCTTTCCTCCTAAGTATCACCTTTTCACTAGTTATTACTAGAGTCGGAATGCAGAGAGACAAACATTTTCTCCTGTTACTTCTGAAGAGGCCTCATTTTCTCTGCCCTGTGGTATCCCAAGTTGCCCTCTCTGTGACATCCCCTCCCCCCTTTCTTTGTGACCGGTACCTTCTTCTCCTGTGATTTTTTTTTTTCTCTTTTAAAAAGCACAGCTGTACCCTGTGAAGGAAAAAATACTGTATTACAATTGAAGTGTCTTGGTCAACTAATAATATGTTAAAATGTCTCTTCTCAAAACTCAGGATGTTTATACAAAATGTTCCTTGCGTGTGTTTAAAATGAGAAACTGCAGAAAAGATACAAGTGGATCACTCAGAAAATAAGTAGAAAAGAATAATAAAGAATAATAAGGCTTCAAACCTGTTTTTAGCTATCGTATGTCTCAGATATGCTATATTTTTCATTAGCAAACTTATTAGACTGAGAGCACTTAAAATAAAAAGAAGGAAGGTACTATACAAGGGGTGTGTGTGTGTGTGTGTGTGTGTGTGTGTGAATTTTATTAAAAGGAGTTTCTGATGTTGAAGGTGAATCCCTCTTCCTCCTTCTCCTGTCCTCAAAGAAAACAAACCCCCCACACAATACTTCAGTCCGTGGGAAGCCGCGTGTTCAGGCAAAGAGGAGGCTAGCGGCTGAAATCGGTCAGCACCCGGGGCGAGGCCTGGGCTTCTGCAGCCACGGGGACCACGGGCTCGGCCACACGCCAAGGGGACCCTGTTCTCCTACGCTGGGACCTACGCTGTCTCTGCAGAGGCTCCCAGGCTGCTGTTACTTCTGAGACGTGTCGGAAGTTGAGCATGACATTTCTCCACACACTCACTCCCCACCAAGAGATCTTTTCAGTCATTTTAGCCCAGACCTAAACTGAATCATCTTTAAAGCTGAGCACCTGAACATTACCGGGGTGACCCTCATTTTAGGCCCGGGCAGGGAAGTGTGCAAGGTTGCTGGAGCAGGGCGCAGACACTCCGCGCCATCACTCAGTGTTGGTGGCTGCCAGACGCCGTGGCGTTCCATGGGGTTTCTTGTCTCTTGTGAGACAGTGCTTACCTTCTAAGTAGTACTGCCACCTGATTATATCTATCTGTTTAAGCAAGCTGACCCCTCATTTATGGTTCTGTGTATTGATGCTTAGTGTGTATACTTGGGGCTATTTGCATTTTGGAAAGGAAACCAGAATCACAAGTCTTTACAATGTATGCTTTTATTTTATTTTTTTTAGAGATTTTATTTATTTATTTGACAGAGATCACAAGTAGGCAGAGCGGCAGGCAGAGGGAGAGGGAGAAGCAGACTCCCCGCTGAGCAGGGAGCCCGATGCGGGGCTCGATCCCAGGACCCTGGGATCATGACCGGCGCCGAAGGCAGATGCTTAACCAACTGAACTCCCCAGGCGCCCCTTAACAATGCATGTTTTCACGGGGGAAATCGGAGGGGTGGACGAACCATGAGAGACGATGGACTCTGAAAAACAAACTGAGGGTTCTAGAGGGGAGGGGGGTGGGAGGATGGGTTGGCCTGGTGGTGGGTATGGAGGAGGGCACGTTCTGCATGGAGCACTGGGTGTTGTGCACGAACAATGAATCATGGAACACTTCATCTAGAACTAATGATGTAACGTATGGGGATTAACATAAGAATAAAAAATAAATAAAAAAAAAACAATGCATGTTTTCAAACCGATCTCACAAGGAATGTACCTGAAGGCTCAAATGTCCTTGAGGAGGGGCAGTAGTATCCCCCACATTCACACTTTCCAAAACAACCTTCTGGAGTCCTGCTGATGGAGTGTTCTCCTTGCTGTTTCCTCTTTCAGTGATTTTCTGTTCTCTTTGTCTTATCCTGCTTTTCACTGAGTGACTCAGGCTCCCTTTCCCAGAAAGGGAAAAGCCATTCTTGTCTTCAGGAAACCAGAGAGTGAGTGGAAGTGGCCGCCCAGAACCTAAAAATTCCATTCCCGTTTATTTTTCTTAGGTGGCTCACAGACACCCCAGGCATTCTGTCAGGGAGTGACAGTCCCCACAGTGGGGTCAGCCCAGGGCGCTCTGTTCTCTGTGTTTCTGTCTCATCCCTTACCTCTGGGTTGTGCAGATTACCCATCTTTGGCAACGAGCCTGGCTCCTAGATTCTAAAATCCCCCCTCTCCTATCAGGAATTACTCTCACATTCTATTAAGTTCTCCTGCTTTGTGTTTCTGAATGTGAACATTTAATATTATCAGCTTATTAGTTCTTATATTATTTTAGGTTTCAAATGAAAGGCTAAGTGACCTTGGGTGATAACATTCTACTAAACCTACAGTCCACTTAAGAGACTGATAAGGCAGGGCGCCTGGGTGCCTCAGATGGTTAAGCATCTGCCTTCAGCTAGGTCATGATCCCGGGGTCCTGGGATGGAGTTCTGCATCGGGCTCCCTGCTAGGCGGGGAGCCTGATTTTCCCTCTGCCTCTGCCTCTCTCTTTCTCTCTCTGACTCTCATGAATAAATAAATAAAACATTAAAAAAAGAGAGAGAGAGACTGATGAGGCAAGAACTTTTAAAGCAATGTCTGAAAGAGAAGAACAGAACTTTTTAAATTGCCTCTCTGCTATATTCCATATGCAGTTGAGTCCATTAACTCACAAAATCCTAGCCACAGTTCTTTGAGGTAGGTGATGATAGTTTCATTTTAGAGACAAGGAAACTAGAGCGGTTAAGTAGCTTCCCCCAGGGCACACAGCTAGTAAGAGTTCTAGCTGGGATTTCAGTCCACATCTGGCGAGTCGGAAGTGTTTTCTCAATAGCATCACTGCTATATATTGAGGAATGTACCAGGCCAGAAAATATGACAGAGTGAAGCTCCAGTAATGAAAATATGCTGGGGATGGTGTGAGAATGGACCGAATCACTATCTCAGGCATAAACACCATTTCGTATGAAAGAGACAAATATCTGATAGAAGAGGCTCTAAAACCAATGGGGAAGAGATGGATTTTTCAATAAATTCGGTTGGCACAGCTCAAAAGCAATTTGGAAAGCAGTTTAAATCTTTCCATCGCCACTAAAATGAATCGCTAGTGAATTAGAGTTAATATAAAAACTAAAATTGAAATAGATTGATTTAAGTATTTATCAAATGGCCAGAGTAGGGAGGACTTCCTAAACTTGGAAACAATAGAAAAATTACAAAAGAAATGTTGACTAGATCTGACAGGATTTTTTTTGGGGAAAAAATGGTGTGTGTGAAAAAATGAGGCAAATAATAAACGAAAAATATTTTCAGTGAAAATGATAGACTCAGATAATGCAAAATAGGTGATAATGTCTTTAATGTGTAAGTAATTAATAGGTAGTAACAAACAACTGAAGACCTCAACAAATGAATGAGAAAAGGGACACAGTTCACCAGAAAAACCCAAATACACTGGGTTTTTTTTAAAACTTTGGACGTTGTAATGCTTATAAATTCACAAGAAGGTGCAAAGAAATGCAAAGAGTTCCCATGCACCCTGACCTAGTCTCCCCCAACGTTAACATCTCTACAGCTAGTTTTTTAAAAAGAAAAAACTGTTGACCTAATTCTTTTTTTTTTTTTTTAAAGATTTATTTATTTATTTGAGAGAGCGAGGATGAGAGAGAGAAAGAGTACATGAGAGGGGGGAGGGTTAGAGGGAGAAGCAGGCTCCTCGCTGAGCAGGGAGCCCGATGCGGGACTCGATCCAGGGACTCCAGGATCATGACCTGAGCCAAAGGCAGTTGCTTAACCAACTGAGCCATCCAGGCGCCCCTGTTGACCTAATTCTTAACAAAGAAATGCAAATTAAAATGATTAGATTTACAAATTTTTTCTAAATTATAGTATTTTATGCCCTTAAAGATATAGAGAAAACAGAGGTTCTCTTATTTGTTAATATAATTAGGTAATATATATATTACTATAAACATTTTTAATAATTCTTCTGGGAACTGATTCTAAAAAATAATGATAATGTCTCATTATTTACAAAAGACATTTGCAAACGTGTTCATCATCTTTACAAATTTGGAAACACTCTTAACTTCCAATACATAAAATGGTTACTCTGTAACACCCATATATAATAAAGTATTATCTATCAACTAAAGTTAATGTCTCGAAAAACTAACAGCCTGGGGAAAAGTTCACAATATAATGTTAAATGAATATATCAGACTATATAAAGACTATGTACAGTGTGATCCCAGTATTTCAAACTTAAATCTATGTATCTATATACAACCTATTCACATATACATACACACCATATCTACATACACATATATATATACACACACAAATATTTTAATATTAAAAAATATACCAACAGGTTAATAGGGGCCACATCTGGGTGATGAAGCTTTAAATAATATGTATTTTATTTACATTTTTCTGTATTTTCTATTTTGAACACATACTACTTTTATCCTCAGGATACATGTTAATTTTTTTAAAAAATGATTATGGTACAGTGTTTGGGGAAAGTTCATATATATATGTATATGAGTACATATATATATGTGAGTACATATAGATATGAGTACAATTATTTTAAAACAGCAAGACCATATGTATAAAAAGAATGGGTGAGAAATGTACCAAAATGCTTATAGTGGTTTTAGTGTGATAGGATTATGAGTGTTCCTCTCCTTCCCTTTTCTCTGTTTATCTTTTTTCAATGTAAAAAAATAGATAAACAACCATTCAGACCTTCTAAACTTGTGGGGAAATCATTGAACTGAACTGACCAAGTTGATATTTAACAAGTGCAGTCCTGTGTGTGTAAGGTAACATGCTGGGGCTTGGAGCTGTTGCAGTCCCATTGAGTTTTCAGTGGGTATTAATAGGAAGTTTCTGGAGGGGTGGAACACCACAAGGGGCTCGGGCTAGGTGTATAATTTTCACCGTTTGTCAGCCAACCCTGATCCACCAGTCTAGAAGGAGGAAGATAGAGAGGAAGAATGACTGGTAATGAATTAATGACTATAACAAGTAAATAAATCATTAGAGTCTTATATGGCCATGGCACACCAAGCCCCAGGAAGATTCTGTTGTTTTGGTGAGCATTGAAGGAGCTCAGTTATTCCCTGTGGTGTCTCCTCTTTTGAGGAGACCAGTCCTCCCCTTGAAGGTAACAAGTGTGGTACTTGTTTGTAGATCCTCAAGTGGTCTCTTTGTCAGGGCAGAGAGGAAGCATGCTTTTCACAAGGCTATATGGATATTAAAATGGGTAAGACCTTTGAATGACCAGGTGTCTTATTTAGGAAAAATCCAGGAGGAAGGGATAGCCATTTAAATGTGTTCCTGAAGTAAACATTTCATAAAGGGACCACTCTGAAAATCTGCTGTGGCCCTCCTGTTATCACATTCCCATCTTGGATATAAGTTGTTTATGAGACTGAAGAGTGTATCCTGAACTCATGAAATAACTTCTTGAAAATACATAATCCGCTTTTACTTTTGTTTCCCAAATTATTCTGGGACTCATTTATCAGATACACAATGACACAGAAGCAGTTCCCTTATCAGCCCCATGAGAAATGTGAGTGGTAGGGAAGTTGAGGGCAACAGTCTTCTCCTCTGGTTTGAAGGAATCGAATCATCTTGTCCTGAATTTGTTCTCATTCCTCAAGGTCTAGTCAGGTGTCACCTCTTCTGTGAAGCCCTCCCTAAACCAAAGCCTGAAATAGAATCAATCAATCTCACCTTCCTCTTCCCTTCCGTAGTACTTTTCTCTCCCGCAGTCTTGGTCTCCTGTGTTGGGTGCATTCTCTGTGCCACTCATTCAGGCCAGAAACCTGGTCGTATTCATCCTTATATCTCCCCAAAGCCAGGATAGAGCAGTTCAATTTGTTGAGTTGTATTGAATTTGCACTTGCAAATTGAATAGAAAGCACATTCTCAAACAAAGTATTTCGGTCCTTCCCAGAGGGGAAGTTTAGACCCAGCAAAGTAGGGAAGGGAGGGCCATGCAAGATGAGAAAATCATGATATGCCATGGTGTTGTTTGTAAGTAGGCTTACAAAGGGGATTGGGAGTTTCCTTCCCTCTTGGAGTCATTGTGGTTAGAGAGAGACTGACAAAGAGAATTTATCTCATTCATCCATGAATAATGAATGATCTGCCACCAGGGGCACTTTTGGGCCAAACCACACTGTGTGTTTGTCAAGGGATGCCTCAAAAGCAGCATGTTGGCCTCTGGGAGAGCGTGGGGGCAGAAGAAAGCAATGTTGCTCTGAATCAGCCATGCAAGGACATATACTGAGTATAATTCCGAAGAAATTTTAGGATGAAAAGAAACATCCTGCAGTGGTAGAGAATAAGAGGATATGAATCAGAGAGTGTTGGAATTTTCCCCCTCTTAAATGGAAACGAAGACTGACCTGGACAGTCTGTTTTGGCTTTGAGATTTGTTGCATGTACCTAAACAGTGATGGTACCTATGAAGTGAGGTGCCCATTTGGGGGAGACCTTTGTTTTTCATTTTGTTTTGTGTGAGGTTGCTTCTCCTCAACTTGGGAGCTGACCTCTGCTTTGAGCTGCTTGTTTGCATGCGCCTGTGACCTTGTGTATCGTGCAATGAAATCAGTTGTTTATTTTGCTTCTCTTGAGACTGTTTCTAATTCTATGCAATTTTGTGTTTGTGTTTCAAATAGGAAAACTCCAGAGATGACAGCCGAGCTCTGGTCCATCAGCTTTCCAACGAGAGTAGACTCTCCATCACTGACTCCCTTTCGGAGTTTTTTGATGCACAGGAAGTTCTGTTATCTCCAAGCTCTTCAGAAAATGAGGTTTGAGCACTGTTTTCAGTTAGGTGCCTCAAAATCTCTTTTGTTGCTTTACTCATTCAGTAAATACCCATCTTTAGAAATGCTTAACTAAATGGCCTCTCTCTACCATTACATTCTGAGGATCTTCTTGTAACTCCTACCCCCCAAAACACAAAAAGATACAAGACCTTAGGGAGAAGGTTGCAAAAGTAGGTGTTGGGTACTTCCTCATTTCTGTTACTTGATTTGTTGTACCTCTTTTCAATTACTTGTTAATCATTTTAACTATTAACTAGTCATTTCTACCACAGGGCCAGAAAACAGCATCTTGTTTTTTTTTTTTAATGAGTGAATTTACCAATATTAATTTATAACATGCCATTATTATATTATTATAATTCTTATAATATGGCTATTATAATTCATTTATAATATATAATAATACTGTTTTATATTGATGCATAAAAATCGTACTTTCCTGAATAAGCAAGTATCATAGTTGGCATTACTTGTGAAAATGCAAATTGATAATTTTATCCCTTTAGTATAGAGATACTAATCTTATTTAATTTCCATAGAAGATTCTTTTCTTTCACAAATGGTTAAAAGACAAATTATAACTCATTCTATGCAAACACTAACAAATTCTGAAATGCAGTCTGAATTAATAAGAATTTCTGTAATAACTATAGTCTTGAGTTTATTTATGTTTCCTTTGGGATAACTGGTCAAGAAAGTATAAAAATTTTAATAACAGGTGTTTATCATGAACACCTTTGAGGCAGACCGGTGTATGGGCCTCTATGAAAACAACCCTATTTCTGTAGGTTTGTAATGGTGGGATTCAAGATGTTTGATGATTTGGATTAAAGGTTTGATGAAAATCTGGTTTGTTTACTCTTTCTCTAATGTATGTTTTTTTCCCCATAGATTTCTGAAGATGACTCCTATGTCAGTGACATAAGTGATAACCTTTCCTTAGACAATCTCAGTAATGACTTAGATAATGAGAGACAGACCTTGGGTAAGATGTAAATTATATGATATCTGAAAGCTTGCATCTTCACACAATACTAACAAGCATATATAGAGTATCTGCTGCAGGCATTGAACTGTAACACATACTATATAAGAGAAGACATGCTCCCTACCCTTGAGGTTTATATAATCTAGGTGGGGAGATAGCACTCACGTGTGAAAAATGTATTCATTCAAATAAATTTGTCTGCTCATGAAAACTTCTATTTTATAAAGTGAATGTATACTAATTATCATATAAATAACAAAAATTAATCCAACAGAGACCCCTGATAATGGTCAAATATTCTCTCTGCAAACATATTACAATATAGGTTTTTGCCTTTAGGTACCTAGTAGTTTTCATGATTTAGGAATTTTATAGGGATCATGTAATAAAAAAGTCCTGTCTAACTGGTTATTTTTATTTTTTTAAGATTTTAAAGATTTTATTTTTTTAAGATTTATTTATTTGAGAGAGAGAAAGAGAGAGAGAGCACGAGCAGAGTGAAGGGCAGAGGGAGAAGCAGGCTCCCCACTGTGGGGCTCAATCCCAGGACTCCAGGATCATGACCTGAGCTGAAGGCAGATCCTTAACTGGCTGAGCCACCCAAGCGCCCCTCTAAGTGGTAATTTAGCCTTAGATTCTTCAAGATAACACATTTAAAAGTAACCAAAAAAAAGTAACTGCTACCTCCTAGAAGGGAGGATGGGGTTGTCAAGTCTTTATTACTGGTTAATCCCAAGAGCAAAATGATGCCCAGGAAATGTTAGTTTGAACCGTGGGGTATCCAGAGTGTCTCCCCAAACAGCCTTGATTTAGGAAGTCTGTTTAGGAAGAATCAGCCCATTGGACAGTTCTCTGCATGGATCCTGTACCATCAAATATTCCCAGTCCTGGTACTCAGTACGTCTCGGGTCTTGAGGTTTGTCTGTGTCACGTATTGGATACCCAGGGCACTACCTATTTTCATATCTACCCAGAGGAGAGAGACCATGTCAGTGCTTTTTCTATTTTGGTACTTCTCAGGTTAGTAAGTATGTGTGAAATATGAGTTGTTATCTGAATGCCAAAGAACCTACTCTCTGGGGACCACAAAAAAGGCAGGTAATTTTACCATTCTCTGGCAGAATATCCTTTCAGCATCAGACCTGCTAAAAATCCGATGCTCATTACATTCTATCTTGCTTGAAATGTTTCTGGAGAAATGAACCCTTTGGTGAAAAAGTCTGCAAACCATAATGGTTCAAAGGAGAAAGCCAATAATATAGGAGCTACTTGTTTTTCTAGAAAAACAAGGAGGTGAATTGAAAGAGAAATGAAGAAACATCACATCCCCTTGACAAACAGCACACACACTAAAATGGCACTCTGGCCATGCATGAGGAAGTCAGACAAATGCTGAAGTCCTCATTCTCTTTGAGGCCTTAGCTAGGGGCCAAGGGGAATGCAGGGAAAGAGGGTTCAGAGGTCATAGTTGGAAACAGAAGACTTGCCCCAGAACCTAAGACCAGAGCTGTGCTGAGTTGACATCAGCCAGGAAAAGCACTGAAGCTAAGGCTGGTTCTCTCTATCTTATTCCACAGCCATTTTGCTGGAATGCTGACCAACACATTGTCTTGGCTTGAACAAACACTAGGCCAAACCCAGCTTTCTTTTTCAGCAGTATTTAGAAGTAAAAACAGGTGTCCTCCAGTTTAACTGTCTCTGTTGAAGATGAGACTTCTAAACCTCAGTACTCTACTGAAAAGATTGGATGTAGAAATAATGTTTGCACATTATGACACACTTTTGCCTACAAAAGGAAATAGGGATTAAATCAAGTTCTTGATAATTAATGATACGAGAATTTTTCTGAGCCCGTAGTAAAGGCTAGATATTTAGAGTGCTTCCTATTGATTTTTTCCTCCCCAAATCAGGAGGCAAATACTAGGATCTGTCACTGTAATGGGTGCTATGGGAGGTTCAGGGCTTAGGAATATGGATTCATGACCAGGTTTCCTTGGTTAACCTCAGCTCTGCCATTCACTGGTACTGTGTTCTAGGTCAAGTTACTTAAGAGATGATATATGTAAAGTATATGTAAAAATATATAAGGTAATATATGTAAAATTCTTGAAGACCTGCTGCTCCAGAGCAAAAACTAGATAGATATTGGTCATTAATTGATAGTAGTCATCATATACTGTTGTTTCAAAATCTAGATTAGTGTAATCAGAGAAAATATTTTGAGATTACATAGAGAACTGTTTTTAAAAACTACTTTCATTTGCAGCTGTTCGGTTGGGTAAATCGGATTTTTGCTCATGTCAAACAATTAAAAAAAATTCAACAATTAATTGGATGCTTGGGTTAACATAAGACTGCAAAGTGTGACCCCAGTTTCATACTTCTCTGTTTATTAAAACAGCCTCTTTATACAGAGCAACTGGCTTTACAATGAGTAAATGTTAAATATTTCTTTTTAATAGATAAATATATGCAAATAAAATGCCCCTTTCTCATATGTTGTGAGATTTCGTTTGAAAATAGGCTCAGTTGGGATGGGAAAAGAATGTCAGAGCCTGAGCCAAAGGAAGTGTCACAAAGAAAAAGACTGGTAGATTTAAATGTTTTATTCATCAATGAACCACATGGACCAGATTTAAAGATAAATGCCAAATAGGGATTTGATTGTAAAATGAATATGAAAACAAAAAAAAAAATACATCTTAGTATATAAATAGGAAAGCAGACAATTCAGAAAAGAAGAAGTGTTTATGAAAGCATTCCAAATCACACTAGGAGTTTTTTTTTTTTAAAGGTTTTATTTATTTGTTTGACAGAGGGAGACACAGTGAGAGAGGGAACACAAGCAGGGGGAGTGGGAGAGGGAGAAGCAGGCTTCCCGCGGAGCAGGGAGCCCGATGCGGGACTCGATCC